GAATGTGTATTTTTTTTTTTTTTTAGGAATGTATATTTTTAAACAAGCTTTCCAGAATTCTGCCACCCAAGCTTAAGAACCAATGGTTTAGCCCACTGGTTTAACTTGTCCTAGTGGGCCAAATCCCGTATTTAAGCAAAAGTTTTATACAAAAGCTCAGAAAACAAAACAAAACACACAGATGAAAAGCCTTAAGGTGGGGAGACAGTGGTTACCTGCAGGAAGAAGCCGGGAGCCTGGCTTTGGAGCCTTTCAGAGTAAAGAGAGCAGCTTCGAATGCTAAAGGTGCAGTGATAAAAGAATTTGCCTGCCAATGCAGGAGATGTAAGAGACACAGGTTTGATCCCTGGGTCGGGAAGATCCCCTGGAGGAGGGCATGGCAACCCACTCCAGTATTTTTGCCTGGGAAATCCCATAAACAGAGGAAAGTGGCAGGCTGCAGTTCATAGGGTCATGCCTATGCATGCCAGGGCAGGGCCAGGCCACCCCCTGACCACACAGCAGGTCACTACAGCTTTGGTCCCTCTCCGGCCCAGGACAAGTATCAGAGGGACTGCTGACCCCACCTCCCCAATCCTTCAAGTCTGTCAGGATTCCAGATTCAGCTTCCTGAGAGAAGCCTTGCCTACCAGGGCAGTTCAGCTGACACCACACTGGAAATTAACTACACCGAATCCTGAGTCCTTTGAATAATGCCTTCCCTCCCCCTGGGGGGTAGGGTGGAGGGTGGGGACAGTGCCTGTTCTACTGTGGTGTTTCCAGGACACAGCATCAGGTCTGGCACAGAGCACCCCCCATCAATACCCCACACGGTGGAGGGAAATGGGCCCACCCCTCCCTGCCACGCTTACCTTCCCTCCCCAACAGGCAGCCCCTTAGAACAGTTAGGAAGCACAGCAATACAGTGGGCTTAGAGGGTGTCACTGGGCCCTGTGAAAATACTTCACAAATGACTTTTTGCTTTTACCCTCACAACTGCCTAGCCCGGGGGCAAGTACCAGCAAACCAGTTAGTTAAATGACTCATTGACTTGCTAATGAGATTGCTCCTGGGCCAGTTAAAGGAGACAATCAAAAGGGACGTCCTGGGGAGAGAGTGAACAAGCTTGGCAAAAGCTTGATGCTGGCTGGAGTCAGGTGATGGATGCCAGAGGTGTTATTACAATATTCTCTTACTTTTGCGGTTATTTGCAAATGTTCTTAATAAATAATGGAAATTAAAAAAATTAAATACAGGAAAAAGAGATGCTTCCAGGGACTGGCTTACACCAACTTTTCTAGGTTAAGGAGCCACTGCATTTCTGTACTTCTGAAGTCCTCATTGTAGACATTTTCAACAGTTTAATCTTCTCTTTGTCACTTCAAGAATTATTTACTGAGCATTTACCAGATACCTGGCATTAAGCTAACACTTAGGATGTATGATAAATAAGACTAGGCTTCTAGAGTTTAGTGTTCTAAAAATCATTCAGGGCTTCCCTGGTGGCTCAGAGGGTAAAGAATCCACCTGCAATGCGGAGACCTGGGCTGGGAAGATCCCCTGGGTTGGAGAAGGGAATGGCAACCCACCCTAGTATTCCTGCCTGGAGAATCCTCATGGACACAGGAGTCTGGCAGGCACAGAGTCGGACAGGACTGAGTGACTAAGCACAGCACCAGTGACTAAGACTCCCAACTTCCAATGCAGGGGTCTGGGTTCAATCCCTGGTCAGGGAATGAGATCCCACAGGGAGCGACCGAGACCAGTCACACCAGATAAACCAGTCACTTTTTTAAAAAAAGGCCATCAGTCAATTCCAAATGCTGACCAGTCCTGGTGCTGTGGAAGCACAGAGCTCCTCTAGGGGTTAGGGGTCCCCTTGGTCGGGGTGGACGCAAAGGGGTCTGGGTATCTGTCAGGGTGGCAGGAAATGGGAGGCCAGGGATGAGCCTGCTCTGCAGGCTGGTACAGCAGCCACTGAAGGGTTCCAAGTAGAGGAGTGGCAGGTGATCCAGGTTGAATCAGGGCAGGAGAGAAGCCATATTCCTGAAATGCTGGCTTCCCTGGTGGCTCCAGTGGTAAAGAATCCACTTGCCAGCGCAGGAGACGCCAGTTCAATCCCTGGGTCAGGAAGAGCCCCTGGAGAAGGAGGAGACGGCAATCCATTCCGGTATCCTGGCTGGGAAATTCCATGGACAGTGGAGCCTGGTGGGCTACAGTCTGTGGGGTCGCAAAGAGTCAGACACGACTGAGCAACTAAACAACAACAGCAAGTGTACTGGAACTGGTGAGACCAAACGAGCTGAGAAAGGGCTATTGGGGGAACTCCTTAGAGAAGGAAGGATCCAGCTTGGAGAAATTAGGTGTTATCAGTCAGGAAAGCTGGGGTGCCGGTGAGACCTTCAAGCAGGGGTGTGTGGCTGGCACTGTTTGGGATTCACAGAACAGTTTTCATCAAGAACGCCAGTCGGGGGACTTCCCTGGTGGCCCAGAGGTTGGGCGTCCGCCTCACAGTGCAGGGGACGCAGGTTCGATCCTGATCAGGTAACTAGGATCCCACATGCTGTAAGGCAGCTAAGCCTGAGCGCCACAACTACTGCGTGCTCGTGCTACACCCAAGACCTGACATGGTCAAACATTAATAAATATTAAAAAAAGAACGCCACACGGTTCAGGCTGCCCCTTAACTCTCAGGGTGGCCACCTCTGAAACCCTTCCCACCAGGGGATGCCGAGACCCAGCCGGCCCTTCCGCAGAAGCCTCCAGTCTGCAGCAGCTAATCCATGTCCCAGACCTACATTTCTGTAATGCAGGGATCTGGGGGCATGGCATCCGAGGGCCCACGAGTTCTGCACAAGAACCGTTTGGTCTTGTTTCCATTTTGGTCACAAGTAGCAGTGCCGTGGCCTCTGGCCACCCAGGTTTGCTCAACTCTGGAGCCAGGCAGTGCCTCTGTCTCCCTACTCATCCTAGTGCAGCCAACAACACACCATCCACCACTTGATATTAATGCAGTTGGATGGAATCCCATTCCTTTTACATTTCTTTACCTTGGAAAACTGGTTATTTTACAGTTGTGTATAAGAGCAAAAGCAAGTAGTTTTGTTTTTTTTTTCTTTAAAACCCAGTTTTATGTTTGTACATGCTTAAAGAATGTGATGAAAATTATTCAAGTCAACACTGTGAGGTAGGCAAATCCATGAAAAGTATTTTCTTTAAGAGAAGTCAGTACATTATTCAGGCTTGAGAAATACTGTCCCTGATAAAAAGCAATTTCAATAAAGTGTGACAGGTGGTTCAGCAGCACATGTAGAGGCATATGGAATACACAGCAGTGGCCTCCACCCTAGGCTGGGGGAGTCAGAGCCCGAGTTCATGAGAAAATGCCTCACCAGAGTAAGCCAGGCTCAAGAGAGGTCAAGAAGAAACCAAGGGAGATGGCCCGGAGGCTGCAGAGTTCAAGGGCCCGAGAGACAGCAGGAACAAGGCTGTGGGCAGAAGACTGGCAAGAAGCTACCTAGGCAATCCTGGCTCTTAGGCACCTGTCTTTGGCCTGTGCTGTTCTATATCCTGTGAGTTAAAGCCCACCTCTTCTGGGAGGCCTTCTGAGACTCCAGGCCTGCTCAGAAGCCCTGCCCTCATCTCTGCTGCCATCTGTCCCAGCAGTGATCACTTCTCCCAAACATCAGTGACCAGGTCTTCCCCAGCTGTCCCATCCCAGACTAGACACTGCCCAGGGTAGGCCTGTGTCTGGGTCCTCTCTGGGGCCCCAAGCTCTGCCCAGCATATAGCGCTTGTCAGTATACCGAGGGTCTCGGAACTGCTAGGCAAGACCTGTGATCTAGCAGAGGATGAGAGGAAGAGCAGAAGCACCCGCCCTTCCCGAACACCTCCCAGTAAGCCTTGAATTCTTCTCTGTCTCGTGCCCTGACCTACTATCAAAGTGCTACCAACATCTCCCTTTCTCAGATGAGGAAACACGAAGCTAAGAGGAGGCAGTGACTTGGCCAAGGTCCAGGCTTCCTCTTGTGGAGAAGATGGGATCCGAGTCAGGGTCTGTAACTCTAGGGCCTTTCTCATAGACAGACTCCTATTAACCACTGCCCAGCGGGTATAAAGTCAGGTGACAGGAATTCAGAGGGCTGAATACTCACCATGAGGCTTTGCAGAAGAGGGAAAACAGCTGGAAGATGTGGGCGGTTCGGAGTCGGGTAAGGGAACGAGAGGTAGGACCATGGACTGAGGAACGGGCCAGGAAAGAAAAGAAGTGGGAGGGGAGGCGGCGGGCATGGAGGTGGGCCTCTGCGAGGCTGGGGCCCACTCTGGGTCAGGCGTCTTACCTCAGCATCATGAGAAGAGAACACACACACCTGCAGGTCAGCAACAAGGACAATTCAAAGTAGCTAATTCCCCTCACTCTGACCAGAAGTGGGTAAGAGGCTCCTTTGAGCGTCTTCATGTTTGTGGTTTACACAGCACTTTCACATCCAGTTCTGAATCTCTTCCTCACAGCAGTTCAGTCAGGCAGTCCCACCCCACTTTACAGATGGGAAATCAAAGTGTGGTTCACAGCTTCTGCATGGCAGAATGGGGTTTTGACCCCAGAATCTCTCCCTTCTGCCCTTTCCTTCACTGTGATTCCAACTCCCTTTTAACCAATCTGCAGATCACCAACTGCCCCTGGAAAACAAACTGCCATCCAAGCACCCGTCTGGGGCTGGAGGCCGAAGCCCAGACACTCACTGCCTTTCCACCTTCTCTTGGTGTCTTGTATTAATGATGACACCCAGACATTAATAACAATTCCCTACCTCTTCAGAACGCCCCAGAATCTGAAATCTAGCTGTGAAGTCTTCATACAGTTGTCTTCCCGTAAGGCAGAGAGGCTGGCTATTCTCACCTAACCCAAGAAGAAACTGAGGCCCAGGGAGGGGAGGTGACCAGCCCAAGGCCACATAGCTGAGTCAGTGACAGGCCTGGGATGGGACCGGAACCTGAGTCTCCTGCGACCCCCTGCTTACCTGCAGCACCGACAGGTTGGTCTGTCCAGAAAGGCTCAGCTTCTCCTGCTCTGAGGGGTAGGCGTTGTAGCGGTGCAGGTACAGCCAGTCCCGGAGGATCTTCACCGACTCCTTGGGCAGGTTCCCTCTGCGCTTCCTCTTGCCTGCCAGGGAGAGGAGGCCTTCCTCCTCGCCCAGGTCACTGTCCGACATGGTGTCTAGGGGCAAGGCGAGACCTCAGGCAAGCCTGAAAGAGGTGACAAAGGGGATGGGGACGTTATTACCACGAGCTGCCTGTGACCCTTCTCTCAGCACGTCATTAGAGCCTGGGACGCCAGAAATGGGGTAATCGAAACTCAGTCTCAGGCCACACCAAAGCTTGGGCAAGGTTGAAGGAAGAGCCCAAAATGCCTCTAGTTCATCAGGCCAGAGCAAACTATTGAAACAAATGGTAGATCATTAATAAATAGAACCAGACAGTAATTAGAGCCACCACTGAGGCCTGTTTTCTGTGCTCTGTACTGAGCACTTCACATTTGTTATCTCATTCAGTCCTCACACATGCCCTTGTGAGGGAGACAGTAATATCATCATCATTTTATAGATAAGAAAAACGAAGGCCCAGAGAGATTCAGAAAGTCATCCAAGATACTATGGCTGTTAAACAGTTACCATGGGACCCAGTAATTTCATGCCTAAGGTAGCTGGTTATGAAGACAAGTGAAAACCCATGTCCACACAAAACCTTGTACAACATTATTCATAACAGTCAAAGGTGGAAGCAACCCAAGTATCCTCCAACAGATGTATGGATAAATGAAATGTGGTCTACCCATAATACAGTAGAATATTATTCGGCTGTAAAAAGGAAGTCTCGATACAGGCTACGGTATGCATGAAATTGCAAATATCATGCTAAGTAAAAGAACCCAGTCACAAAAAACACATGCTGTATGATTCTATTTTTATGAAATGTTCAGAATGGGCTGGAAGGGAAAAGAAGAGTAATCACTAAAGGGTATGAAGTTTCTTTTCCAGGTGATAAAATCATAGATTTATTTGCTTTAAATGTGTAAGCTGGGGACTTCCCTGGTGGTACAGTGGATAAGAATCCGCTTGCCAATGCAGGGAAAACAAGTTTGACCCCTGGTCAGGGAAGATCCCACATGCCAAAGAGTTAGTAACTAAGCCCGTGCACTACTACTAAGCCAGTGCTCCACAAGAGAAGGCACCACAGTGAGAGGCCCTCGCATCACAACAGAGGAGCCCCCCTCCACCATCAAGGCAACTAGAGAAAGTCTGTGTGCAGCAACGAAGACCTAGCACAACCAAAAAAACAAAAGTGTAAGCTGTATGCTATGTGAATTATACTTCAATAAAGTTGTTATGGGGAAAAAAAAAAAATCTGACCTCCAGGATGTGGTATGGAAGCATGGTTTGGACCCTGATGGCTTGCCCTGCACCCATGCCTTCTTGCTTCCCAGGTCTCCCAAGACCCAGTGTGGAGTCTGGAAACCCTATCAATCTCCACACTCCTATAGCAATCCATGCAACATTTACTGTGTACCTATTGTATACCCTGCAGAAATGTTGAATTATCTCTATTGGTTTTCTCTCTGACATTCTCCTTTGTCATTTAGGCCTTGGTCTGGTCCCAGAAATCAGTGCCTCAAAAATCCGGAAAAATGAGCAAAGGCTGGGCTCTGGTTCCTCCAGCGTGGCTGTGTGACCTGGGGCAAGCAACCTTCCCTCTCTGGGCTTGCGTCCTAGTCATCTGTCAGTCGAAGGAAGGTGTTTCCCTAGATACTCCCAACTCAGTTGCTCATCCTCCCCGCCACCCAAAGTTCTCCTTCCCCAACGCAGTAAGAGATCTACATGTTTAAAACCAAAGTTCCAGGACAAGCTGATGCCAGAATCTCAAGGCTCCTCCCTCCTCAGCCTTTTAACAGCTCCCTTGCAGTCTGGGCCAGCAGACTCTGGCATCTCCCAGGTTTTGTTTCCTCGACTTGGGCCAGAGCCCAGATATCTGGGCCGGTTAGGCCAGGCTTTCGAGGGAAGGGTCTACTCTCCCAGCCAGGCCACCTGGAGGTGAGACAGGCACTGGTGAGAGACGCCACTCCTCAGAGAGCACCACCAGCAGGCTGCTTTCTGAGGTTTAGCTGGCCAGGGCAGTCGGGAGCTGAGCTCAGGCAAGGATGCAGCCCTGGCCGGCTGGGAGTTTACCCGAGGTGATCTGCACAAATTCCACCCTGGCTGCCAATCAAATCCTAGTCTGCAGGGTTCCAGTGGGTGGCCTGCGGAGATGACCCTGTACAGACTTCCCCACCGCAGTGTCTGCGCCCCAGCCATACACGACAACTACAGCAGACACCGGTCACAAACCCGAAGCAGGGAGGTTCACCACACACACACCCCACACTCCCACCCAGCCTCACACCAGGCAACTCTTAACAGCACTCCCGATACTGGCACCAGCCCATCGCCCAGCCCTGGAACCCCCACGATTTCCACCGACAAATCCAGCAGACACACAGTTTACAAATCCCACCTTCAGCACGAACAACTGGTACCACGCAACCAGTCCCTGGATATACGCCCACTCAAGAACTCCAAACGACTCACCCACCCACGAACTCTCAGACTGGGAAAACTCCTGACCGCATCACACCAGGGATCAGTTCTTACCCTCACTGGCCTGCGGCAGCACCCTCTGAACACAACACCCGGGGCACCACTCAACGACGCCGGACCAGCAAGCACTCCCGCACCGACTTTCTGACAACTCCCTGCAGCTCGGCCGACACTCCCCCGGGCCGAGCCCTCGCGCGGCGTTCCCAGAAGTTCACACAAAGCGCGCAGTCTCCCCCGCGGCCCAGACCCAAGCCGGAGCACATGGCTCCCGGGGCGGCGGGGGAATCGGCCTTCGCTCGGGGCGCCGGCACCCCTCGCACCCCCGCCCCGCCACCCTGCGTCACACTCGGCGCTTCGGCTCCCCGGGGGGCCCGCCACCCCTGTGGGGCTGGGGCTCGGGAAGAAAGAAAACTCACGTGGCTGTCCCGGGGCAGGAAAAAGTTTGGTTCCCACCCTCCTTCCCCCGCCGCTCGGCGCTGGCTGATCTTCGGGGCGCGGGGCCGGCCGAGCCTGCGCGCTCGGCTTTGTGCTCCGAACTCGGCCCGGAGGGGGAGGGGAGGGGGCTGGGCTCCCACCTCCGCACCGCCCCCCCCCCGCACCAGCCCTGCGCCCAGACTCCATGTTGGCCGCCCCCTGCCCCGGAGACGGCGCGCTTCCACCCCCCGGGGGAGGCTCGGCTCCGACTCGGCCTGCCCGAAGGACCCGGCGCGCACAAACTTTCTTCGGGTCGCCGGCCCCACGCGCCCCGCTCCCTTGGCCCGCCCGGGAGTGACAGATGCCTCAGAGACAGACTTTCCTTTGTTCCAAAGGAAAAGGGAACTCGCGCGGGCTCCCCGGCCCCCCCCCCAGCTCCGAGACCTTCCCGCTGCCCCCACCCGCAGCTGTCACTCTCGGGGGGCCCCCTCCCCGGCCCGGCCGCGGCGGGGGCGGGGGGGCGACCGGCGGTTAGCAACGTGCACTTTTGAAACCAAACAAACCCGCCCCCCGCGCGCTCAACCCCGGCCCCGGGGCTGGGTAGGCCGTCTCCCGGGGTGGGATCCTCGGGAGCTGGGTACCCCCCTCCGACCAAGGGGCCCCAAGCGAACTTCCTCCGGGGGGGGGGGGAGGGCGGGAGAGCCGCGCCCCCCCGTACCCCGACCGGCCCCCGCTAGCACACCGCAATCGGGACTCAAACACATCCGGGCTCACACACCCACAATCGCACGCGCTAGGACGACGCCCCCTCCCCCGCCTGGCCGAGAGAAAGAAACTTTCAAAGTTCTCCGCGCGCCCCCCCCCCCGCCCCCATCCGCCCCCCTCAACCCCGGCGCCCCGCACTGACTTTCCCCCAGCGGCTTTTCCGTCCACGCGGCCTCGGGCTCGGTCCCGGGCGTCCCGGCAGGGGGCGGGGGGCGCCGGGGGAGCGCGCCGCGTACCTGCCGGGCCTGACACTCGGGCCTGACAGCTCGCGGCTGGAAAGCACCTCGCGGCCTGACGTCAGATCCCCTCTCCTCCCCTCGGCGCTCGGCTCGCCCTCCCCCACCCGCCCGGAGGGAGAAAACAAACTTTGTGCGGAGCGCGGTGCGCTACGCCCACCCCCCGCGGGGCGGGCCTGCGGAGGCTGGGGGCTCGGCCCCGCCCACCGCGCCCGGAGGGGGCGGGGCCGGGAGGGCACCTTCTTCCTGCGCCCACCCCCGCCCGCAGGAATGCCGCATGGCCTCCGGAGAGGAACGCTGGGGACCCCGGTCGGGACGGTCCGCTTGGGGGGCAGGAAGTGGCCCGTTCCTCCTTTCGGAGAGCGTTTCCGGAGCGCCTACTGTGTGCCCCACGCTGGGGGGTGGGGGCCGTAATGGGGAGGAGAAGTCATGCAGATCGTAACGTTTGTTAGTCTGTTCCTTCCACTGGGATCTCCCGCCGGCGGGTTGATTGTTCCCATTGCTTGGAGAGGAAACTGAGGCCCAGTTGGTCCGGGGATTTACTGCCCGCCCCCCAACTGGTAAGGACTTCGGTCTGAATGTGCCGCTGGTTCTGTCTTCAAGTTCTCATAGAGTCGGGTAGAGGTCACCCCTCGGACACAAGCCCAAAGCACGTAGCCCTGGAGTTCATCACACAAGGGGCAGTCAAAGCGAAAAACAGCCAGTGTTTAAGGAGTGTTTGTAAGGCAGTGATGTTTAAGCAGTGACATTAAGCGAGGCACTGCCTGTGTCACCCTCGGCTCTTGCTGTAGGTGCTGTTATGTCAGTCCTTGGTTTGCCCGTGAGCGGTTCTTAGCCATTGCTTGTTACACGGTCAACCAGAGTCATTCAGCCCAGGTGTGTCCAATAGCGCAGGCCAACCACTTATCTGATTGAGCCCAGCCCTTGAAGGAGGCAGACCACCTGAGAGCTCTCAGTGCTCCTGGCTGGTATCCTTTTCCTCTGCCCAGGATACCCAACTCCAGTATCTCCCTCGGTCTTCCCCAACCCTGCCAGCACTCTTCCCTGCTCTTTGCTCTCTGTTCCACATACTGTTGACCAACCTGCTGGCCTTTCAGGGAAACTTTGTGCCCTGCAGAGCCTAGCACAGAGTCAGCCTAAAAATGGGCAAGGCCTTTACTGGGCCTCTGGTTCCTCATCTGGTCCCAGATGACCCTTGAGCTTGGAAATCAGCAGCTTTGAAATGGCTTTTGGTCTTAACTGCACTTTAACTATGGAGAACTCAGAAGAAAGATCTGGTTTGCTCCCCAGGTCCTAAGCCCATCAGAATGCTGATTAAATGATGAAGGTGCACCTGGGTTCCCCATTGAAGCCAGACCAACCTGCAAATGCTTAGAACCCATTCTGCCACACTGCTTTCCTTGCTGTGATCGCCAGGGTGCCAGTACTGCCACCCAGTGCTTCCATTTCAGATGGGGAAACCACGGCCCGACTAGAGGCCCCAGACAATTTATTGGGGTGCTCTGTCCACAGCCTTCTGAGAGAAAGGGAGGTTTACATGAAATCTCAGGTAAGAAAGGTAAAATCCTCAAGACCCTGGTCACTAGGATCACAGAGGAGATGGGGGCCTAGGTAAGGGGGACCTGGAAGGAGAAATGGCTGCAGCCAGATGAGCCTGGCGTTGTGACTGTTCCCAGCACATGGCGACAGGCTTTGTGTCGAGTGCATGGGATGACCCTGTGTATTCAGCCAGCGGCAGCCCCCTAGGCCAGTATTTCCCAGCTCTTGTGCTACAGCAGGTATCAATCCATCTGGATGAAGGGAAGGGAGCAGCTCCTTCCTCCTTTTAGCCTGCAGCACAGCCACCTGGGAGCCGATAACCAAGCAGCTTCAGGAGCCCCTCCCCAGACTTCCTGGAGGGGGAGGGGGAGCCAGGAGGTACCGGGCGGCTGGTAGTGTATCAAGATGGTGCATTGTAAACAAATTCCCCAGGTAAAGCCTAAGTACTCTGAAGAGTTTGAGAATTACCGTACAATGTTTCTCAACTGGTAAGTACCAGAATTTATGTGCATCCTTTAAGCCAGGAAGTGTACTTCTAGGAATGTCTTGAGAAATGATCGCAGAACAAAGATGAATGCTTACACAAGATTGTTCTTTGCAGCACTATTTACTTTGGTGGAAAATGTGAAATAACTCCCTGCCTCTCACTGGGAGCCGATTGCTTACAGTCACTCTGGGACCTCCGCACAGCGGTATGTTGTACTGGGGTAGGTCTGAGCGCTGACCTAGGAGATGGCCTAGGTTTATTTATTATGCCACTTTGTGGTGTCCTAGCACAAAGGGGGTTTGGGTATACTTGCTGAGAACTTTCATGGGAAAACTTTTTCCAGCTGGGAAGTTATTTTGTCATTTTTCTCTCACCCAGTTTTGCGCCCTGCCCTGCTGCCTTGTTTCACGTGGAAAAGCAGTGTCCTTGAGAGGGAAGGACTGGTGTGATGAACCTGGGGTCCTGACTCCTGGGACAGGTCTGGGGTGGAGCTTGGAAGGGAAAGAGGTGGGCGGGGCCTCAGAGCTAACCTGGTGGCCCCCCGGAGGCCATTTTAGGAAGAGTCCCAGGAACTCAAGGGCCCTCAGGCTAGAAAAGGGACAGGACCGGTTGCATAACGCAGGCCTGTCTCTGCACCTGAAAACCCAAATCAGAGGCTCGGTGTGATGGGGGGTCTTTCTTGATTGTTCCTGTTTCTAGTGACCTTGGTTGTTGCATAGGTTCAAATGAATGTCATGCAAATGTATTTCCCTTAAAAAAAAAAAGGAATAAAAAAGGAACTTCCCTGGTGATCTAGTGGTTAAGGCTTCCATGCTTCCAAAGCAGGTTGCACCGGTTTGATCCCTGGTTGGGGAACTAAGATCCAACTTGCTGTGGGCCGAGGCCCCCAAAATGGAAACAACAAAAAAGCCAGCCAGTACCTTTTTCACCCGTTAGTGTTAGTTGCTCAGGCATGTCCGACTGTCTGCAGTGCCATGGACTGTAGCCTCTGTCCATAGAATTCTGGCAAAAGTACTGGAGTGAGTTTCCATTTCCTTCTCCAAGGGATCTTCCCAGCCCAGGGATCTTCCCAACCCAGGGATTGAACCCAGGTCTCCTGCATTGAAGGTAAATTCTTTACTGTCGGAGCTACCGATGGAAATGGGGAAAGGGACGAATATTCACCAGAAGCCAACATGAGCCAAAGTTACAGCCAGTGGCATAAAGGAGATGGGGCTCCGGGGGCGAGAGGGGAAGTATCCAGCAAAGGCCAGGGTCAGTAAGTAACTCAGGAAACAGCTGTATTGGATTGGCTTGAAGGGCCTTGAAGGCCGAGGTGAAGAATTTGGATTTGGCAGTGTGGTAAGTAGGGAGCTCCTGGAGTTTTCGAGACAGTGGCTGAGGAGGGGTGGCAAGAGATGGAAGGCAGGGTGATCAGGTGAGGCAGATCTGGGTAATTGAGACCAAACAGATGGCCACCTGTCTCAGGTCTAGGAGATTTGTGGCTCTCTCCTCTGAGGTTCTGCATTTTCAGCTCCTGTGAATTTCAGTTTATCAACATCTTACTTTAAAAGCCTTGTAGTATTTTGTTTAGCAATTACAATACAATTTGCTTAGCTTTCTCCTAGTTGTTGGGTATTCACTTACTCATCTCATTTTTCAAAAAGTATTTTTTTACTTTTTGGCTGTGTTGGGTCTTGGCTGCAGCTCATTGGCTTCTCTGATCGTTGTACGTGGGCTCCAGATCTCCGGCTCGGTGGGCACTGTGGCTTCCCAGGTGGCCCCCGTGGTACAAGAACCTGTCTGCCAGCACACGTTCAGTCAGTGCGGGAAATGGAAGAGACTCGCGTTCGACCCCCGGGTCGGGAAGTTTCCCAGAAGAGCACGGCACCCACTCCGGTATTCTTGCCTGGAGAATTCCATGGACAGAGGAGCCTGGAAGGTTGCAAAGGGTCGGATATGACCGAAGCGGCTTAGCACACATGCAGGCATGATCTTAGTTGCCTTGAGGCACGTGGGATCTCAGTTCCTCCACCACAGATCTAACCCACATCCCTTGCACAGGAAGGTGGATTCTTAACCTCTGGACCACCAGGGAAGTCGCCTCATTCATCTAATTTTTGAGCATCCAGTGCTTTGACAGGGTGTGCTTGAAGCTGGCGAACCCACCCCCTAGGTTGTCGTGAAGGGTTTGGGCTGCAGTGGTGGAAATGGTATGGGAATTGGGGTTTGGAGATAACTAGCCTGGTGATAGAGGCAAGTCATCCAAAGCCACTGAACCTCAGTTTTCTCATCTGTGGAAACATCTGGCTTTGGTGGGGTTAAGAGAAAATAAAGGATGTGTAAAAACCCTTTTGTGAATAGCATCCAGCATTTGTAGGAGAGCAGATACCATTATCAAGATGTCTTAGCTCTGCTGCTGCTTTTTTTTTTTTGAGTGATTAATTAATTTATTTTTAAGAGGGGCCAAAGCTCCTCTGGGTCTTCGTTGCTGCGTGTGGGTTTTCTCTGTTGTGGTGCTTGGGCTTCTCACTGCAGTGGCTTC